CGTTACGTTCGTAGTAGTCGTCGTCGTGTCGTCGTCGTACGACCGTACCTAAACGAAGAAAGGAACGAACGTAAGTACGGACGAACGTAACTACGACGACAACCTAAACCCTAACCCTCTCTCTCTCTCTCTCTCTCTCTCTCTATCACTTCTCTGTTGAATTGATTAGCTTAGAGACTGATTCTTCTTGTCCAACCCCCAGGAAGCCTGCGGAAAGGGGAGACTTCTCACCAACCGGCCTTGATTCAAGAGATTCATACGACCTTCAACTTGGTTAGCTTTCATATATATGATGTTCAGCTGAAATTTCCTTTTTATTTTTTAATTTTTGGTGAACATGATAAAAATAGGATTTTTGTGATTCAACAGGAGGAGGAGGATCACGATTCTTCTATGATTCCCATGAAGTTCTGAGAAGGAAGCTGGAAGAGCAGGCAGATTTGCAGCAAGCTCTAGAGCTACAAGGAAGAAGGTTCATGGAGCTCCAGCTCCTCGATGTTAAAAGGAGGAGCAGCAGCAATCGCATTTCTGTTGTGAACCAATTTGATCACCGAGCTACTGGCCCCGCCAGTATTACCATAACCCCACCACCTAAGACAGCGGAAGGTAGGCTAGCTACTGGCTTTCCTCCTCCTTCGGGTTTCACAAGAGGACAAGGATGGAATTGGGTGGTTTGTTTTCCATGTATCATTTATATCTCTATTATTTTTCTTTCGTGCCTGCCAGATAACAGTTGTTTCAGCCCCCAACCTTTACCTTTGGATGGGGGGGGGTATTTTCATCATCAATTGGGAGCCGCGGCAGCAGCAGCAGCAGCAGCAGCACTTAACTCCCCAAATAAGGACTCCCGTGGGGTTTCAGAAGAGGAGAGCTCCCCCAAAGAACAACCTATTCCTTTCCAAGAAAGGTGATCATCATATATCTTTTAACTAGAAAAAAAAATCAATTCATCCTGTGATTAACAATAATCATGATCAGTTGCGCTACCGCGGATCACAATCTTCCTGATAGTCCATTTGCCTCTCCAACAAAGATCGGCGGTGCGTCCATCTTCTCCAATAACAACAGCTTCACAGCAACAACTTCTTCCTTCGCCCCCCCAACAACTGCATCCCTCGATGTGCCCCCGGCCTTCAATTCATGCTTCTTCCAATTCCCCAGGTTAACTTTGCTCTCTTGCTTATGAAATCCACCCACTTTTTCATGGGTACACATTACTAGCTGGCCCCTCCCCTCCCCTCCCCTCCCGAAAGAGACTGGGAATACATCAGATTTATTTTCACTGATTTCTTATAGGTTTTGCGCATCAAATGATTTGTCAGAGTGTGTTGTTAAAATCTTTTCTTTTTAAAGTTTAGTATTCATTTATTTTTCAATTTATGTGTAAAATTTAAAGGCCAACATCCGTCCCTAGGATCAATTTTTGAGGTGCGCTCGGGGGATGTACTGCAATAACTCTAGGCTCCTTGATTGATTGAATGAGTGGTTAATTTATTGGGACTTTCCATCCTTCAGGTTCTCTTCGGGTCCTGGTGCAATCGGAATGTGACTCGGGGGTGGTCTTTGGCGGAGTTGTAGTCTCAAACTTTGCAGGCGGAAGGGAGGGTGTACAAATAATTGTTTGCAAATTAACCACTGAAGGGAAGGGAAGGGAAGGGAAGGGAAGGGTGAAGAGTATAGGTAGCAGCTGGTAGAAGTAGACCCTACAGAGGCCTTTTTTGATATACCAAAGGCCTGCCCCACCTCAATTTCCTTTTCTTAGAACTACTCTCCCTCTCTCTAATTATAGACAGACACATACATGCGCCGGCGACAGTGGAAGATACCCGTTTTACTGAGCTCAGCGTATCGTCTCTTTACAGTAGCTGAAAATCCACTGTACAGTTGAATGACAAACAAAGCAAGGATGGAGCGAGCATCTGGAGGAGAGGATTGCCTTGTCTTTGTCTTGTGGTTATACAACACAGAACACACACCAACACCCCCAATGGCATTTATACAAAACATGAAACCATAAAAAGGAAAACTCTTTTCTCTCTCTCTAGCCTTGTTTTGTTTCGTCTTGTCCCGGACTCGGTGACTGCCTGCGTGTGTGGTTCAGATTGATTTGGTGTGCGTGTGTTTGTCTGTGTGTTCTTCTTTTTATATTACTGGGGGATCACATGGGCGCTGACATACCACTGCCCCGCCACGCCCTCACATACATCTACTACTCATTACTTTATGATCCATATGGGTTCTAACATAACAATAATGATATGGAAATGAAATGGAAAATAGATATCTGACGACAAAACAGGCGATGATGTCTGTCTTTCCGCCAGCTTTTTACCTAGTGTCCCAATTCTGCAATGGTCGTGGACCACGTCTCGGCTGTGGCCCCTCCCATCTCTTTTCCCGCTCCATCTTGCCACTCTCGACGCAAAGCCAACGTCCTTTTTTTACCACAAAATTATTATCATCTCGTGGGAAGATATCGTCCTAATCACTGTTCAAAACAAAGGATCGGGCCGACTAGTCGGTCTTGGCTCGATCCGATTTCGACTAGATCGGTTGATTAGTGTCTCGATTTTTTTTTTAAAATGCAATTTTGATAAAAAAATCTCAAAAAAACTCAAAAAATTCTAAGAAAAACCCAAAAAATTGAAAAATATATTTAAAATTTACATTTATTGTTCTTATATAAAAAAAAGCAAAAAAACAATTATAAGCATAATTGGGTTTCAGAGAAAGTGATTAGACATTTGAAGCAATACCTTTTCAGTAATCAATTTGTTTACGATGCAGATCCAAACAATCTCAAGATGAGATGGCATACTAACTTTTCCACTGAGACAATACATTCCTCGTTCACCCATCTAAGGTATTTTCATTCTAGGGTTTTCGGCATGAGATGTTCCGGTGATTTAGGCAAGCTTGAAACTCGAGTTGGATTTTCCGACCATGTCACTTACCTTCAGAGGTTTTCACTTTTAAATTCTTTAACCTGACATTTTCTTTGATTTCTTTAGGGCTTCTTAAGGTCTTCTATAGGTTTTACTTGTTTAGGAAAATGTTTGCCTTGTCAATTATGAAGATAGAGCTAAGGCAATAACGCAGTAATCATCATATACAAGTGTCCAAGCTCATTCGTTTTTAAAGAAATTTAATAAAATTTGAAAATAGGGAGAGATTTGAAATAGAACCCATAATTTGGACATGTCATAATTTTAATAAAGAGTTAAAGTTTATGAAAATACAAATATATAATGAATAATTTCGAATAAGAGAAAGATATTATGAAAAACAAATTTTTAGTTAGCAGTTTTAGCTTCTGCAATCATAGAGCCCTCTAAGCAGTTTAATGCCATGCAGCGATGGACAGATGCACCCGACCCTTTATGTCATACAGGGCTAGACGGACATACCGACCTTTTGTCTTACGGAGCTAAACATTTTTTGAATACACTCGACCTTTAACTCTATACGGGTTTAAATATTTTCATGTTTTGGCTCTTTTACGTCGTACGAGTTTGACGTTTTCTAAATTGTGATTTTGGTTAGCAGTTTAAACTCGTGCCAACAAGGAGTATTTGAAAAATTTAGAAAATTAATTAAATGTTTGAAGACAGTCTTTTTTTTTTTCGTAAGAAAATTGCATAGGAAAACTAACTTTTGTCTTCGGAAGGCTCTGGAATTGGAGTAAGGGCATTTTTGTCGCCCAATTTTTGGGAGACACTAACAGTGTCACCTGGCGACATGCCTTGTGTCACCTAATGATCTGGGCGCCACACCCTGTGCCGCCCAGGCCACCTCCAAAATCAAATGATTTTGATTCCAGAGGTTTTGGGGGTTGCCTTATGCTCCCTTCTTTTTTTTTTTTTTCGGTTTTATAGCCTTTGCCCTTATTTTGGGGAATTTTTTACTCCACTGCCCTAGTTATGGGGTGTTTTAATTGTTAACCTTTTGTGTGCAATTGATTAACTGAGGTAGAGAGGGACATTTTATTTGCACACACTTTTCAAACTGAATTTTGACATTCTCAGCCCCCTTAGGTATAGGGTTTTGTCCCAAAATTCTAGTTAATGAACCGTCTTACACACACATATATGGGGATGAGTTTGCCTCCTTTTGCCTCAAGGAATCTAGCTAAGAGAGAGAATGCTCTCGAACTAGCCAATGTCGTCATTGATGAGGTTCACCCATCTTCGATATGTGGTAGTTGGCAATTATACTCATATAACAGTGGAGTGCCTGGCCAGTTTCAAGCCTTCATAACAGGCATAAGAAGTTGGCTTCAAGAGCGACGCCAGATCGACTAACAATTTAACCTCTTGTAGTGATGGAGGAGTCATTTCTTGATTTTAGAAAAACGAATTTTGAAAATCATTTTTTTTTTAAAGAAAATAAAAGACTAATTTTTAAAGCATTTTTGAAAGAGGGACGGGTCTTACAATTTTTGTCACATGTGGGCCCTTTGGTGGTTATTTTCTTTATTTCTTTGTTATTCAACTATTTAAAGAAGATGAAATGGATTTCCTTGAGAGATTATGAGGGTGCAAGAGTCTTGAAGTTTCCCTTGGCTTTTGGAGTTCTCATCTCGTGTTTCACAAAACTATGAGTTCTTTGTGTTCTTGTCGGGTTTCCTTCTTGGAGAGGTCTTGATGTTCTTCACAGGGTTTGTCGAAGTTTCTTGGGTCTCTAATTCATGTTACCTTCCCATAACTTCCTAGGTTGGATCTGTTGGGAACCTATAGGGATTAGGAGTTTCCATCCTACAGACCTGCTTATGTAGTATTGTTGTAACTTGCAAGTACCTGTTTGTACTTGAGGTTTTGGATCAGAGGCTCCCTATTGGATTTTTTCCCATTTTTCTTTCATACACATGGTGCCCTTTTCGAGTTTTCACTTCCTTTTCTGTTTTGGAGCCAATTATGGGTAGTATTTCTTGAGATATATCGCATTAGTGGGATCGTTGAGTTCATATCCCTCTCCTGATTTTTTATTTTGTAAGAATTGTCTGCATGCACTCTGATTATCACGAATGACCCATCCCAGTTACGTTTGAATTTGCTTAATAGGTGTGGATTTGCAAGAGCGTGAAAAATATTTTTGAGTACCATGTCTCATTCTATGAATTGTAGGGGAACAACTTTTCTTTGGTATAACCATTTGATTCTACAATGGTAAGCTATGATGTTCTATATTGCTCGTAGTCGTCTTTCATCAAAAGTATCAAGGGTAGTGACTCGTGCTTCAATCTTTGTTCCTCATCTAAATCATTATGAATGAGCACTCAGAGAGATGATATCTCAACTTCAATCCATATCATACACTAATGAGTATGGGGTCATGCCAATAGGAGTCTTTTCATTTGTTCGATAGGCCCATAACGTGTCATTTAACTTTTCGTGCTAATCTTTACCACCTTCTATAATTCTATCTATAATTCTGAGAAGTCCTTTGTTTGTGGCTAGTTGGACCTCGATCTTGTTGGGTACGGAGATCGTGAGCAGGGAACCAGATGTGGGGTCTGACCCAAGATCGCTCTCTTGAAAACCAATTTGCGCGTATGGGTTAGTGAGAGAGAATTATAGGATATAAGGTGGGACTTACCTCATAGTGGGTTTGTGACATACTCAGACATGCGTTGATGCGCTCTTAGATCACCACAGAAAGCCCCTAGCCTGACGCTGGTTCGGCTTTGACTCCCTTGCTACACTGCGCTTTATTAGCACACATGCATAAGATGGACTGACAAGTGGGTCAAAAGACCCCGACTTGTCGTTAGATGGGTGATTTATCAAGAGAATAACGGGGGAAAGTAAAAGGGGTGACGAAAGGAAAAACGAAAGACGACTTATTAATTTGACATCCTTTCGACGCCATCTTAACAAATAACCTTATAGTGACAATATTATTAATAAAAAAAATATCTCATGAAAGAAGTAAGGAGAAAGAAAACGATGATGCGTGTGGATAAAAGAAGAACAATGCAGTGATAAAGGGGAAGACGATAAGAGGTATCGAAAGAGAGAGAGAAGATAACAGAGAGTAGAGAGACTGATATAAAGATAGAGATTGATAAAGAATAAAGAAGAGGAGGAGAGATAAATTGAGAGTGATGGAGAAAGAAGAATAAGAGAGAGGAAGAAAGAAGAATGAGAGAGAGAGAGGGAGATCGAAAGGATAGAAGGGAGTTTTAGAGAGAGAAAGTGTGAAAGAGAGAGAAAACGAGAGAGAGAGAGAGAGAGAGAGAGAGAGAGAGAGAGAGAAGAGAAGAG